ATGGAGATAAGATAATTCCGGAAACTTATGGTTTGACCTATGTACATACAGTGTAGCACTAAAACTACCATATTTGCACAAGGTAGATTATGAGATATTGCTTAAGATGTCTGCCGAGGAATACGTGTGTCTTATGGCAAGTGTTGTGAGTCTATGGTTTGGTTTCTCTGTCATTATGTTCACTGACTTTATACGACAAATGTCTGTCAAAATCAAAGCCTATAACACTAATAATGTTAATACTTTACAATTATTTCAAATTCATAATCATTTAAAACGATCGCAAATTCATTGTAAAATTACTACCATTATTCTTAATGGGGGTTACTTACGTAGGGCATTTTATCGATTAAAATCAAACAAAATATTTGCATGATAAATATTATTTAAATATTTGTCATACGCATATTTATTTTTATGTTTGGTTAAAATTCAATGCTCACCAATAATTATAATATATTGATTTAATTACATTAATTTTTTTATGTATTTTTAATACCTAGTTAATAATAAAATATGTATTAAGAAAATGTTTTTAGAATAAAATTATTTAAATATTTTTTTATAAATTTAATAATATTTAACACAAAAATTTAATAAATTGGTTTTTATAGCATTAGCATCAATATTGTAATATTAAAGCAAAATTTTATTTTGATCTTTTTTGTCTATAAAACTAAATATTATTTTTTTTCTTATTTATAATGCAAAATAATTACATAATGCAAATGTTTGGAAATATTTATCATCTTTTACTAAATTAAAACAAGTTTTTTATGAATCAAAATATATTTCTACTAAATTATATAACTAGAAATAATCAGATTTTTAAAAATTCAATAATTAACAAAAATAACGTAACAACATTTAATATTTGTTTTGTTATTTAAAATAGATTAATATATTCATTTAGCTTGTAATCATTTTCAAATTCATGTTTATTAATTGGTATAAATTTAAAACATGGGATTTATTTATACACTATATAGTAATTAGTGTTAAATATTCGGGGTTAACTTATTTGCCATATTTGCGATATGCGTGCCATACGTAAGTTAAGGTGCTGCATATACATGAAATTGTATTATAATCAAATATATTATAGTTAAATTAATTAAGTTGTCTTCGTTGCAAAAACTCATCAGGTATCTCAATACGATCGTTTGTTTCCATTAGTCTCATAGCACCTGGGTCATTTTCAGTGAGTTTGCATTGATAAAGTGTTAGTGTGGCCAGCTGTTTCACTAGTGGCGTAATGTTTGCCCTTTTTATTAGAGCCTCCAATATATCGAGCCCTTTATCTTGACGTAATAGTTTAGAATAATGGGAGCCTGGTGCAATAATTGGTAATAATTATTTTAAAATTATCTTATAAATAATTACATACTTTTAACACGGATACAATTTCGAGGTCACAAACACTTTTTTTATTTAAATATTAGTAAATATTGTAACAACATTAAATATATGTTTTGTTATTTAAAATAGATTTAATTAATTTTGCTTATTATTTTTGAAATAGATATTTTTTAATTAATATTTTATATCATGGGATTTAATTATTATAAAGTAATTTGTGTTAAATATATATGGGATTGACTTATATGCCATACGTGCCATATTTGCGCTAAGTGTGCCATACGAAAGTTAGGGAGGTTAAATTGTTTTATAAAAGAGTTTTAACAATATTATAGTCATATCAATTAATTTGTTTTTGTTGCACAAATTCATCAGGTATCTCAATGCACTCGCTTGCTGCCATTAGTCTCATGGCACCTGGGTCATTTTCAGCGAGTTCGCATTGATAAAGTGTTAGAGTGGCCAACTGTTTAATTATTGGTGTAATGTTTGCCCGTTTTATTAGGGTCTCCAATGTATCTAACCCTTTTTCTTGACGTAATAGTTGAGAATAATAGGAGCCTGGTACAATAATTGGTAATAATTATTTTAATCATAAAATAATTTTATAAATAAGTGCATACTTCTGACACGGGTACAATTTGATAGAAGCCAAACGGGATAATAATAACAGTCACTCGCAATCTCGGGTTGCAGTAAATGTAATATAGGTAGTAGTGTGCTTGTTTAATTAAAAATTTCATAAAATTAAAACATGGTGTAGTACAATATATATTTATATAACCAATACTGTGCTACTTACTTGTAGTTTCCAAAAATGCCAGTATTTAGTTTCCAACCCTCAATCGCAATATTTATTTTTTGAATAACCTTGTCGAATTTGCAATCATCACCTAAATTATCTGGCCAATTATTTATTCCAATGGCAGCTTTATCGTTATAAATTTAAATCATAGAATTAATTACTACCTATAAAATTAATATACTATTCTTAATTATAAACTTGCACATGTTAAATAAATATTAACATAATTTCTGTTATTATACAGATTAGTAATTTAATCTTGGGACTAAAAGTTTAAAATGAAGGATTTTGTATAAAAAATAAACAAATTAAAAAATATTTTTAAAAATCATATTTCCATATCAAACCTAAATTGGTTAATATGCCGGCTGATTTGCAATTTATCGATTGTTTATAGACACTAGTTTCTAATAGTTTCAATAGTGACTGAATGTATTTGTTGGCTAATAGTTGCGGTTTGAGCTCATCGTATTCGGCCACGTTTGATATAACACCGAGCATTGCCTCAATTACATCTGGGTAATTATTTTAAGTAAATGAAAAAAATATTTTACTAAAATACTGTACAACCTATGTTATCTGGTAACAAATCGATGCATTTCACAAAACGATACATGCCATTCATCTCGATAAATTGTTGGCAATTGGGCTGGATAGTATCTGATAAATACAGTATGTCAATAAACGTCATATTCATTAAATATCATGTATTATTATAATAAAGTTAATGTCATTTATTTATTATAAATTTTACCTGTTATGTTCCATATGATATTCCACGTTGTAGATAAATATTTATCATGTTCACTTCTCTCAATTTTATGATCAATTAATTTCAATAGTTTGTCCATGACCTTCAATATTGCCAAAAGTGGCCGGACATTTATATTTGCCGAAAGAGTGTGTAAATATGTGATACCTTAATTTAAAATAAATCAAAAATAATTGAATTTTTCACGAGCTTTGTGAACTTGTTCAATTCAATTTACGAACCAATGTTTTCGGCCAAATCAACGTTGTCATTGCCAATCATGCTTAATATATTTCCAAACACTCTAACATTTTCGATTGTCTGTAAAAATTAGCTTAATTATAAATATTATAGATTGTCACGCACTAACAATAGATAGCAAATGATGACTACTTAGACAATGACACTATTGATTATTTGTTGATTGTGTTAAAAATAAACATCTTAAACAACCATATTTTAGAAAAAATATTATTAAATCAAACTAGCATTCAAGTTAAATTTTTAGAAAATTAAAATTGTACCTTCTCCTTTTTAAGTTCCTGAACTTCGTGACGTAACTGTCTATTATCTTTAATCAGTCTGTCATCGGATTGGACATTGGACAATTCCTGAACGGACTTCACCAATTGATCTTTCTCCAAAGTTAACTGGTTGACCGTGCATTGTAACAGGTCAATTCGATCATTAGCCTTACGGTTGGCCAACACTACAGCGTCTAAACACTTGTGGTCACCCGTTATATTACAGCAACACGTGTCGCACAGTTTGAATCCGTTTGCCTCATTGCGCTCACAGGTGGCGCTGTGCTCTGTTATGTCACTTAATTTGACAACTTGTCGGCACCCGTTATCCCAATAATTGCATCTTATATTTAGTTTTCCCAAAATATTTTGCAGCACTCTGAGTATATGTTAATATAGTATATATAAATATTATAAATAATAAATATTTAAAGTGGCAGTATTTGAAGAAAGCTACATTTATATTTGCAATAAATGCTCTTAGAAAAAATTATTTCAAGTAAAATATTATTGTAATTAATTGAAAATTGGTTAAATATGTTTGTAAAATTCATGAAATACATACAATTTATGTCATAATCAATTGACTATACTACTGTATAATTATTAAAAGCGTTATATGACTATAATTGTACTTGTATATAAATGAAACTAATAGCAAAACTAAACATTAAGCAAAACTGATCATCATTGAGTGTACTTTGAACTATTACCTTTCATATGGCAATAATTATGAATATTGTATAAATACCTAGGAACTTTTGTTAATTTATCAATTGTCAACCCTTTTCTATCATAGGGGCATGTATCATGGTTAGTTAGCCAATTGGTGATGCAATCATGACAAAATGTTTGCAAACAACAGGGGACAGTCACTGGGCACCAGAATATGCCCTGACATATACTGCACGAGTAGTCTGACTTTTCTGCAGTCGACAAATTTATGAATCTATCGGTTTCATACCCGGGCATTTTACAACCTTATTACTGTATCTGTTAATAAGAAAAAATAAAATCAAATAAAATAACCCATGTTTTTATTTTCCATATATGAATGCATAGTTAGTTTACTAAATGAGTTTATTTATAAACTTTAAATCTAAAAGTATTATCACTTAGTACATTACTCATCATGAATATTCAATTGATTAAAATATATTATTATTTAGTTTAATTTCTACTATAAAAACCGACTATGTTATTTTTAAAAAACCCAACCATATATATTTATTAAAAAATAGTAATTTATTAAAAAATAGTAATTTATTAAAATATCTTTTAAATATAATAGAAATTGTGTATAATTTACATTACCAACTTGATTTATTGCGATAGGTTTTTGTATATAATGAGTTTAATCTAACTTTAGAATACACAAATAAATTAATATTTTGTTTTAATTAATATAATAACACTTACATTAAGTAAATTCATTCGCCATAGTATGCAGCATTAAAAATTATATTTTCTAAGAAAATGTTCATTAACGATTTCATTGCGTTAGCATTTCAATTAACTTATCATATCAAAATATTTTGTGAATCATACATCCTAATAAAATTTTACAAGTAATGTGCCAAAGTCCAAAATTTAACACCTTTTATTTCTTAGATATTGTTAAAAAAACATAAACAGATATAACGTAAGTGAAATTCAGTTATCTAAAATTACATTTATTATACATTAATTACATTGACTAGTATTTTATTTGTTTTAATAATTCGTTTTAAAACAAGAATAACATGGTGGCTAAATGAAGTTAATCGATACATACGCTTTTCTAGTTAATGTCAATTAATATAATAATTATTATTATCTTAATTACTCATTTTTATCATTTAATAATAGTCTATATTTCTAACTCATTATACATTATTCATTAAGGTATTTAGTTCATAATTATTTAAAATATTCGCAAATTTATTATAAAATTAACATTAAACTTATATTGTTAGAATTATTACTTATGCTGTTAAGAATTTTAGTTGTATTCAGTATAAATTACCATACTAAATTTTATATATCACATGTCCATATTTATATTAAAATTATATTCGGGCTCTCGTCGATGGATAACCTGATCCACAGTTTTTCGTATGTTTTCCACCGAAAGTCAAACTTCTCTGATGTGGGACTACAGGTGACTGAA